ATTATAGAATGAGAGAGAAAGAGAGAGAGAGAGAGAGAGAGAGAGAGAAAAGGTGCCGTTGTTATTAGTATTAAAATATAGATAGATAAAATATAAAATAATAAATATATACGCGTAAAGAATTATTTTCTTGAAATATCTAAAATTTTGTTAAATACAAATTTAAAAGCAATTTTGTTGGAAACTCAAATTGTGCAAATTGCTAGAATATTAAAATTTGCCACATTGTTCATCATTTCTTTAGTTTTTGGTTTACAACATAATTATTTTGATTATCCGATCAAAAAAATTATTTTCAAATCTGTATTCTATGTCCAGTAAAAATTTTAGATCTTCCAAAAAAATAATTCTTTTCGTGTAGATACAGAAATATAGATACGAAATTATATAAGTAACTTGACATTCTCACGCCATATTTATAATGTTCGCTATACGTGCGCATTAACATCGTGCATTTCATATGCATTTTTGCACAAACGTCGACAGCCTTCGCATTTCAAATATAAAATGATGGATTATCGTGGTGTTAATCAACGTGGATAAATATAGAGCGGCAGATTCGTCTATATAAACCGTCCATCAAGAGGAAGAAAGAAAAAAAGAAACGTCCGACTTCATTTGCCTGCTCGCGAAGTCCGCTCGTTCATAACGATATACCGACATTTGTCAAGAAGCACGTTACGCGCGCACCGGCGAAACTGGCAGCCACGACGATGTTAGCAACCGCCATCAGTCGCGCGGCGTTGTTTCAATGCCCGCGTGATTCTGCGCCGGGCTGCGTGATGAGGCCTCCTAATAACCAGTCGCTCACACGTCTGGCTGCCACCCTTACCGCCCGCTCCCGACGGCACCGACGTCACCCCAACGGCCCGACTAACACCAACCAACGCGCGCTGACTTCGACCCCCTTCACGGCGAGCTGCGAAACTGTGGCATGTCGGCTTCGCATCAATCTTGTTAAATTACCCGCCCGGCCAGGAGTCGTTCTCGCGCGCTCCCGGATTGATAAATTGCCCGGTCCCGTCTTCCGCAGACACGTAACGCGCTCGACGTCGCGACCTCGGAAGGTAGGGAACGTGCGAGGGATGCCCGTTACCAAAATGCGCCGAGGAAAATCAAATTAACGTGTGCGCGGCGCTTCGCTTTCTGACAACACGAATCCACTTCGGCGCGCCGCGCTCCCGCCGGGCTGTCCTTCAACGTTTCGGACGCCCGTGGTAAGCGTGAATAGGAATGGCGAACCGGGCATGGGGCGCAGTGACAGGCTGCGGCTTTCAAGATGACTTTTTGCTGTCGATCACCCGGCGAATCGAATTTTCACTCGGCACGTTTTCCAGCCATGCCCGTCATTTGCGCCAACGAAATGCTATTCATAATCAGGGGCTAATTATTTTAACGTGCGCTTCGAGATCAACAATCTGCGGCTTTAATAATAAATCGAATCTCCATCTGTTTGCGAACAAAAACGACGCTTTCAACGGTTATTTCGGCGCAATATTCCAATAATTCTATAAATCCCTTATTATTCTAAAATATTAGTCTTTTGCTATCAATTAACGTCAAAATTTCTTTAACCTTTATAGAATGTTATCGTACGTAAATACATATAAGTAAGCGAGATAATTGAGCGCTAAGCTATGCCTGCAGTGATCATTAAAAGATCCTAAAACCTAAAACAAATGAAGATAAGTTTTTAAAATTGTATAATAAAATAATGTATATAAATTCTATTCGTTATATATCAAGGTATCGATCATGTAACTTTTTCTCTAAAGCAGAAACGTGAAAAGTAAACAATTTTATTTATATGTATGTACACATACATAGAAAAAATGTTCACTTTCCTCGTTTTCGTCCTGAAGAAAAAATTACATGGTTGACCCCTAGTTTGGATCTCCTGAATCAGTATTATACAGAGTGTGATAAGTGATTTCAATTTTTAAATAATAGTTTTGTATTATAATAATTATTATATATTTATTTAAATATTAGAAAAAAGCACGTACACAATTGGACTACAAACAAAAATAGATTGAATTTGATAATGTGCGTATTCTTTCTTTCCTTTTGAGTTAATAGCTACTTGTGTTCATATATAATTTTAAATTATAAATATTTTGTCATTAAAAGTATGAAATTAAAAAAAAAACTTGTATAGTAATTAAGAGTATATGTCCTATCTCCTTGTACATAAATATTATTGATATATACATTTATATATCAATAATATTGTATCACTCTCAATGTCGATAATATCCTGGGATTGAGACATTAACTCTATTATTCCTTGTATAGTTCTTTTTTATACCGTAATTACTCGCGTAATGGTATTTATGACACTCCACATTATATTTCAATTTTTACTGTCTTTTGTTGATTTATAATTAAATAAAAAAATTGATAATATTCTATACACTTTTTAGATAAAAGAAATGCAACAGATTTTTTAATTATGAAACAATTTGCATTAAATATAATAATGTGTATAAATAGCATTCATACATTTAACAAATTTATAAGGCCAGAGTATCATGACGGACACACACATCTGCAAGTAATAAGGGGTTAAGAAATTAAATTGTAACACAACTATTTTCAGTCGCTTTAACGTAATAGCAAATCGTAAAAGGATGATCGTAATGAACACTGCCGAGCGCATAGCGTCCGACGTCAGTCGTAAACCTCTTGCCAAGTACCATCCTTACCTTGGCAGGTACTATTCCTTCTACCTATTGCCAGTATTCTACCTACCTATCCCCGTTCGGAGTCGCGCTATCGCCTTCAGCTTCTCAGCGATGAAGATAACTATCGGCTCGTTACACCTACCGAGCATCGTGGCGAACGTGTTGTAACCAGGACCAAGTACCACCTAGTCGGATCACGGGATGAGATAGAAAGAAGACCAACTAAGCCATCGCTGATAGCGTCTCTAAGCTTGCAGACCTGGCTACCCCAGCGAATGCCCGCGCCAGTGGCTAATGGTAGGTCCGCGGCTTTAGCGCGACAACGCGACCATGTTGAGTCGGACCAACGTAATCCTTACATATGGCCGAGAGATTCTACGGGATTAGGAAGGCGCGAACCCATTGTGCTTGTTTCCTCTCACTGCGTTGAGTGTCCTCCTAATATCTTCCGCGGTGTTCGACTAGTCGGTCGACCAATGTTAGTCGCGAAACAATTCCGCGAATATTCACTTTTCAAACCAGGGATGAAGGTTCAAATAAATACTCCACTAATACTTCGTTTCATGAAGTTTCTCCATTTTATCCATGATCTCGAATGTTGAAGCGATTCATGCTTTAAGCAAGATTTCTAATCAGATTTCTGACATGAACGTTAATCGTATATTTATAGGTGTAATGATTGTTGTTTCTTATGTTCGGCGAATAGTCGTAAAGATCAAGATGGATCAAATAGTGAGATAATGTTAATCTGGCCTCTTGTTTTGCGAAGATTCGTGGGAAGATCCTGTACTGAGTAAGCCGAGACGCGATGTGAGGTAACTCAAGTCTCGCAATATCGATGTGCTGTTTTAAACGAATAAAGCAGGATGACTCATCTTATCTGTAGAATTTTGCGAAACAATCTATATGAGATATTAAGTATACACATGTCAATATATTTTTTTAGGTAATAAAATAAAAGTCCTAATGACTAAACTAAGAAGATATGATCAATTCTATATTATTATTGATTACTAATTTTATTAATTATTAATTTAATTTTCAATTTTTTACTATCAGAAAAAACATACTACATATTTAAATAAGTATAATACAATGTTTTAAAAAAATTGAAAATGTAGACACCATTATGACCAAGGAATACAACCAAGGAATGGAAAGTTACTTTTTAAAAGTAACAAGTTACGGTTATTCGTTACCGATTTTTAAAAGTAACTCATACAGTTATCGTTACCTGAGAAAGTAACTTTTCGTTACTTTTTTTAAAATCGACGATTGCCAATCACAGCGGATGGGCCTAAGGGCTTTCTAGTCTCAAGCGCTATGCAACGTGTATGTGCACTGTTAAATCTATAGTGTCAAATTTAACTTAACGTGAGTCGCCACTGCTCCTACTCAATTATATCATTATTTTATACTAAAACAATGGTTATAATTGACACTATACAGTGTCAATTTAACACTATATAGTGTTAAATTGACACGATATAGTGTCAAATTTAACTATCGTTTTGGTAAAAAATAACGATATATTTAGTAGGAGCAGTGACGACTCACGTTAGATTAAATTTGACACTATAGATTTAACAGTGTGTAGTTATAGGAACAATAATATAATAATACATTTCGCACTATATACTATTATACATTTAACAGCAATATGCGAAAATTTATTGTTATATTAAGTAATAATACTAAAATTTGGATAATTATAGAAAATATTTAAAATATCCTGCTATTTACGTACACTATTAAATCTATAGTGTCAAATTTAACCTAACGTGAGTCGCCACTGCTCCTACTAAATATATCGTTATTTTTTATTAAAACGATAGTTATATATGACACTATATAGTGTCAATTTGACATTATATAGTGTCAATTTGACACTGTATAGTGTCAAATATAACTATTGTTTTAGTATAAAATAACGATATGATTGAGTAGGAGCAGTGGTGATTCACGTTAAGTTAAATTTGACACTATAGATTTAACAGTGCACATACACGTTGCATAGCGCTTGAGACTAGAAAGCCCCTAGGCCCATCCGCTGTGATTGGCGATTCACGTTAGGTTAAATTTGGCACTATAGATTTAACAGTGTAATTTTCTATATAAAATAAGATATATATTTACACAATAAAAGCAAATTTACATAATTTTTGTGGAATTACATAATTTCTGTAAAATTGCACGATGTTTTATATTTACAGGACAAATTATATAATTTTTACATCTATTATATGTATAAATTTACGAAATTTGTTTACAGTGTGAATGGTTTGTGTCGTATCGTGTCCAATCGGGTGCAAAGTAACGATGAAACTAACTGTAAATTTCGTTACTGTTACCAAAAACATGTAACTTCATCAACCGTTACAGTTATCAAAAAAAGTAACACAGTTACCAGTAAAGTTACCAAAAAGTAACTTGCAACTGTAACTTCGTTACAAGTAACGAGTTACTTCTATTCCCTACCATTAACGAATTTGATTAGACATATTTGTGTGCATTAGTGCACATTAAAGTCGTTGTACACTGATTTCCGAGCATAAAAGTGAAATATAAATATATCGAATTCATACTTCCATATTTTAAATACGTACTTCCATGTATATGAATTATTGTGAAGAATATTACTAACAATAGATATCCACCGGTAGTCTTAAAAGCTTAGGACGCTCGCACGGAATGCAAAAAAGATATTAAAATCAATTTAAAATTCCTATGAGCATCAATATAACTAAATTGCTTGTTAAGGGAATCCTAAACCGAACTTGATCAAGATCGATAGTGCAGACTTTTTTAATTCCAAATTCCATAATAGTGACATCTTTGATTCATTTCTTACATTATATTATATCGTTCTGTTTCATTCAAACGCATACATCTATCCTTATCTAACATATGCCAGCACTATCTATCGCAAGACTGCGCAACTACTACTACATGGAATTTCGGCTCTTGACGTTGGAATTTTATTCCGAGTCCTTGCAAAGCACGTAATTATGTTTTAGGAGAAATATTTTTATCTACGCGTTGAATCTTAATTCTACAAACTCAGTAATGTTTGTTCAAGTAAGCTGAATCCCGCTAGATGCTTATTTTCAATCAACAAGCTGTAAAACTTTTATATCAAGCAAATGTTAATCTCAAGTGACAGTTTTAAGTGCCAGAAAAAGTGAATTTTTTTTCCGATGAAATCGTTTTCTCGTGAAATCATGTTTTCCTGGATTTCTTTTTATGCGTTCTTTAATTCTGTAAAAAAAATTTTGCAATCCATGAAGCCAATTCGGAGATTTCTGCTAAAACGTAATCGTGGTAAAACAGGACGCCTTTATAGGATCCCCTTAACTTAATTTATGATATTACTGTTCTAGTTCCGTTAGAATTGCGTTTCAAGACTGAAATTTCAAATAGAAATATTTAAGCACTAAGATCCTACTTTGACTAAATATAGGAATTTTTATATTCAATTATATATTTTTATTATTTATTTTAATACAAAATATTAAAATCAAGTAAGAAGAAACCAACTACAGTCAAATTATAGATGTTAGAAAATAAAATGATTCTATATATAAAATTTATTTTAAATACATTTACTTTAGATATATGACTGCGCGCCAGTTACTTTCAGACTTGCAACGCAATCAAATTGAAATAATAATAATAATCTCACAAATTTTTTAAACTGAATCGTCAATTTGAAAAGCTTTATTATTCCAACATTTAAGTTTGACCGTAATTGGCGTTTCTTCTTTCATTCATGTAGCAGTCAAAATATTTGACTTCTTTTTATGTAATTTACTACCCAGATAGACTTGTATGACGATCACGATATGCACAAATTAATTTACTGAAAATTTAGAACAATTTTATAATCATTTATGACATTATAAAAGCGAAAACGTTTATATTAAGGAAAATATAAAATTTAGGTTATTTGAATGATTAAATTTTTTGTTATAGAATTACAAAAACATATGTATGAAAATATATCTTCAGATCTATAATATTCGTTTTACGATATTGCTATATGAAATATTTACATCATACATAATTAAATGAAATACATCGTATAATGATGCACATTTGCAATTATCATGTGATGCTATAGAAAGCTTAAATAATTTTTAAATTTTTCTTCATTTCATGCCGCATAAAGTAAGATAAATATACTGTAAAATTTGGGTAAACAAATGTCGATTTTGATATACCGAATTTTGTTGAAAGAATTCGTAATCCTGATGTGATGTCATAGTAAGCATAAATGATTTGTAAACTTTTACTTATTTCATGCCGCATAAAGTAAGATAAATATACTATAAAGTTTAAATAAACATGTCGATTATGAAAAATTCGCGCGAAAGTCCACAGAAATCACGCAGTGTGGCGTTGATTTTTCCATCGAAAGTTGCATGGTTTGAAGAGGGACACATGATGGAAATGTGGACTTGACCTTGAGTGACCTTGTCAAAATCAAGTTAAGGTCATTAATGTTTTTTTTCTTAAGTAGAATCCCTATTTTTTATTACATATTCTTGTAGCTAACCTCGAGAGCTTTCCAAAACACTATAATTAAATTCATTTTCATTAAGTATATACTTTTCGAATTATAAAGGCTTGAAAATTACAGTACCGTCGGCATTACCCAAGGTGTCCGATGGACGGCTAAAACCTTTTGTTGTTCAGAATCATGGATAACTTTGTTCCTGGATAAATTTGTCAAGATCAAGGTCATTGGAGGTTGTTTTTCTTATTTTCATTTTTGCACAAAAATTCATTTCTACGTAAAAATGAAAATAAGAGGTACAACCTCCAATAACCTTGATCAGACACCCCGTATATAAACATGCATATTACATATATGATCAGTACGAATGACAAAATAAAATCCAATATATGTCAAATTTATAAGTGTTCAGACAAGCGTGCGATTAGCTCAGCGTTAGCGTAGGTAGGCTACCACCCCAAAGATTGTAGGTTCAAATCCCGTCGATACTCCATGCGTTTTCAAGAATATTTATAATTGCGTTATATAATTATAAGAATTTGTATGTACAGAAAAATAATTAATAAACTTAATAATTATTCCGAAAATAAAAAATAAAATCTAAAAAAAATAAAAACAAATTAAATTATAATTAAATTTTTTTTTCGTTAAAATATACTCAGTAGACAAATGTACATATACTTTACAGCAACTTCACGTTTATCTTACAATCATCCAATGCTTCATAGATGAGCCGATTAAGATCCGAAATATTGCAGCAGCATTTAGTAAATCAGAAAACGAAATATCATGATGTGCAAATATGATGTAAATATGAGACACTAAGAATCAGATTTTTGTTTGTCATATTTACATCATATTTGCGTCATAGTATTTCATTTTCTGATTTACTAAATATGACTACAATATTTGGGGTCACAATCGCCTCACCTATTACGGATTTGATGATCGAATACAACGTAAAGTTGCAGTAAAATTTATGCGCATCTGTCTATCTGGGTATTTTCTTACTGTTATTGACAAATACTTTAATAGTAATAAACATATTGTTGATTTTTCAATCAATAAATACATTTAGTTATTACGACGTTTACCTTATAAATTCTACGCTTTAAAAAATGTCGGCGTGAATTTATAATCTTTGATGTTTATATATGAACGTCATCATATATATATGGGTTTAAAACTTATTATATTAAATCCACATCACGTTCGTGTTAATATTAACATCAACACAATGAGAATTATATGATGTTAAGGCCACACCGATACTTTTTAGTGTATGCGTCGTTGTCTCTTCAAACTCCACAAATAATGTAATAGCAATTTTATTTCACAATTAAACGGTAAAGGTAGACAAACGATCACTTCGATTCGAGTACACGTACGCAACTCAGTATCTAAAACCAATTGAAAAACGCATTTCGCGAAACGCAATCCGAGCTTCGAGCGAAAAGATGTTTCGACCATTCGAGGAAAGGAATACTATGGGGGACATAAATTTCGCATGCAGAGGAATCAAGTGGTAGGTACAATGTATCGCGGCAAGACTATACTCCGCCGGGTTCTGAATGATAAATGGCCTTCAGTGGACTGGCTAATGAGTCGGCTAGACTGACTTATACGACTCCGCGTTGGATTTTCCAGCGAAGGACTCCAGGACTCTCTCGGTGCCACGCTACCGAGGAGGTGACGCTCGCGGGAGTAGCCGTCGTATCATCGTTACGGGCGCTCATTATTCAAACTTACCGCGTTCCATCTATCTCAGTTTTACATCGCGGGAGGATGTGAGCTGCGTGACGATGTCGGCGGCTCGGAATCCCCCGGCATGCATTATTCACAGTTTCATATTGAAATTGCACGAGGGGCACACACCGTTGCTTCGCGCGCTCGCGCGCGCGCGAGGAAATGGAAACGCATTTTATCTCTCGCCTCGGCGACAGCCCGTCAAAGCCGCGCCACGTGACAGACGGCCTTGTTTCCACCTACAAATCTACCTGACGTTTCTCGCCGGTCGCTACCGAAAAGCCTCGCCGAGAGAGAACGAACACGGAATTTGACTCGTACAACGTTTGCGGAGGATATAAATCACCGTAATAAATAGAATGCGATAGATGTATATCGTGATGTATTTATTTCGTCATTCTTATACATCTTGTATCGAGAACATACGGCAAATAGAAACCGGAAATAAATAATGCAATTTCGTGAACGCGGCGCTGCGGTCAACGTCAATCGTATCTTCTTTCTTTTTTATCGAAGTATAAAACGGTAGGAAACAGTTTAGAAACTGTTGGATAAATTGTCCCGATGATATTCGTTCGCCTTTTCGATAATAATTATGTATGTACATAAAAATTATCATGATAAATAGACTCGCCAGTTTCACATACGATTGCGCAACGCCCATCGGTCATTCCTTAGCCCCTCGGTGACGTATATCCATTAAGTCTAGTGTCCCCCTAGTGACGTAACGCCAAGGTGCGTCCCTATACCTGTTTCGAATAATGCACGCTGCGAACAATGACGTGTGGTGATGTATGTGGGTTACGGGTCGAGCAGCTGTTGCTCTCGACAACTGGTTCCTCACACTCCCGTGGGCGCTCACAATGTCACAATGACGTGTGAGCACTTGTGACAGCATCGTGTGGGTACTACATACTACATTGGAGTTTGTATTACAAGCGCTTGGCTGCACGCAAGGGTGGCGCGACTCTTGACGCTCGCTGCACAACACACGCCGTGCGCACATTTCCAAAATACGGTCCGAGAGCGTGATTAGCTACTTTTAATCCGACCAATGGGTGTAAGCTTCTTCGATATGGGAACCAAAATATATCGCAGCTGTATATTATGTTTAATATTCGATATCATAATAGGCTGCGATTTATTTTAACTATTTACACGTACAGGGTGACAAAAAAGTTCGATTACAAAATTTTGTGTGTTTATCAAATTATTACTTTGCCAGGTAACAAACTGACGTTATTTGTTGTCATTTTGACGTTTAAATGATGACGAACGTCAATTTGCTATTTAAATTGTAACGTATATAAAAAAAATAAACTCTAGTCTTAGTTGACATGTTGTCAAATATCAAAAAGATTCTGTACCAAAAAATCTTCATCGGTTAGTAAACTGAAAATCACTCTATTAATTGTCTGGGAGAATTTATCCGTGGAAAGATGTTCAGCCATGTTAATTATTACTTTTGGTATTTAATAAGAGAGAGAGAGAGAGAGAGATATTTGGTTTAAAACTAACAACATACTCCAGAATTTTGTTTTATACATTACTATAATTATTTAATAAATACAAAACTTTGACCAAACTTTTTTGTCACCCTGTTGATTCTTATAATTCCTAAATTAAAAAAACAAAAATCTATAAGAGAAGAGAGAGAGAGAGAAAGAGAGAGAATGTCATCGTTAATATCGTGAACGTTGGGGAGTCAACATCATCGACGACACGTCGACGTTTGAAACTCCCCTACCTCTCGCTAACCCCATCGAGACGTATATTAATCTTACCACCATGTATAACGCGATACCGGGCGATAAGTAGTCCAATTTGGCAAGATACGTCATGTGAACCCATCCATGTCGAACTTGGAGCACTACGCTTTGTAAAGCCTCGCCGGCTTCGCCCTTCTCGACACCCGTGCGGCGCAGGGCTGTGTGCAGTCAGGCTCGTATTCGCCTGGCTATCGAGTCTGGATCACGTCACGTCGCGTCGGATCGCGTTACGCTCTCGACACTGATCGGAGATTAGCGCCGCCAAACCCCTGCCACGTTGGCTCGCTCTCGCTCTGTCTCTCTCCCCCTTCAATCTGTACTTCGTCCCTACACTCCCGCGACGCTGCCTGCCTGCCTACCTACCGTACCCTATCCACCATCCCTCGGATTGCATTCAAATCACGCACAAAGAGCTCAACTTGAGAGCTCTTCTCGTAACCGCACTAGTGCCGCGCCTATCTGACAGCCGCATCTAACGGATTTTTAACGACCTTTTGTTGGCCGAAAAAAGAATGCATATAAGCTTCCGATAGTCGACCGGGTACTCGGTCCCCGTGGTACGAGACAACGCACGGAAACGATCATCAGATAGCACTAGGCATTAGGTACCTTTTGGCATGTTCTCGGTAAATCCATGCCATGGCGGTGCAGAGGGATAGAGGGAAAGGGAAAGAAAAAAGATAAATATTTTACAGATTATCCTCGCCAATGCTGATTTGAATTACGAGTTACCGTGAAATTGAAATCATGATTTATTGGCGGAGGAGACACAATTTATCTTTTCTTCTTTCCTTTTTTCTCTGTCACTGCATCTGCCGTCAAAATATCCTTGACAACTAATGGGACGCGTTGCGCGTCATTCGTGTAACTGACGCGTTGAAGCTAATGGACAGAAAAAGTCTTTATGTTTGTTGTCAGTTTTTCAAAGTCTTAAAGACTGTCTATTGTCTATGTTTTTTTTTTTTTGTTAAACTAATAAGCTACATAAGCGACAGTCAACAGTTGTCGAGAGCGCCAGCGGGGCGCAATCGTAAACTATAATAGGGGAACGCTTTTGTTTACATGGTTTCTTGAGATCGAAGAATCCTGAAATTCAATTGTTGTCGACAGGTTACGTACCTTTAAGCACGACTACGGTGATAAATGACTCCTACCGCGTGCCTCGTCGTTACCGCCTCATTCCGAACTTCCTTGCTCCGGCATAGTTCGTTTAACGTCACGTCGGATCTTCAAGATGGCGCTGAGCACAGGAGGGAACGATTTTGCGAGAGTCGTTAGCACGGCACCGAGCCACGCCTCCTTCTACGAGCGTTGCCTCCTTTTCCCGTACCCGTACGCGTTGCGCTCTACAAAGAACGGGCTGAGGAGGCACTCGAGGCGAGACCGGGGAATCGCTCGGAAAGACTCGTGAAACAAGAAATAATCACCCTATTATCAAGAGTTTAACGAGGCTTCGCCTGTTATTGAACATCGTCTCCTTCCCTCCCTCCACTCGCACGGCAACACAGGCCGGAGAGATATGAATTTTGCTTCCTACATCTCGCCGACATCTCTTCGCTTACGACGACGTTAACTCGCGGCTTATGAAAATATATGCCGAGTGCACGACGACACGCACGCGTTTGCGCGAAAAGTAATGAGACGTTATTAATTGAACGTCTCTCTTATTTATCCCCCCCTGCTTTCTCTTCTCTTCTTTCCTTCCCCGTATCTCCGAATGCCTCATTGAAAGGTGCCAGAGATCGTCAATGTACCAAACAAATGAAACAGATGATCGTTATAGAGACAACTGAAAGATCAACAACTGAAAGAGTTCTTTTCCGGTATTTTGAAAGGATTCTATAGAAATATACCTACCCTTTAATTTCTTATGAAATTAAATCTGAGTTGCTTTAAAAGAGAAGTTCTTTTTCTATTCGTAATGGATGCGAAAAAATCGTTAGCAGTACGCGGCAACGCCGCCAGATGGACGCGCCGAAATTCTACTTCTCGAAAGTAAAAAGCCACACAAGATAAAATAAAATGCGATGGCATTATAAGATTTTTCAATCATGTTCTAATGAAATGATGACAAAATGATGTCTTGAAGATGAGCCCGCAAAATTAGACTCCGAAATAAAAATAATAAGTTTGACAGTACAATTTCGTTTATTAATTCTGTGTAAAAATTAATTTAGAGATCTAATACTTCTGAGAGTTATATACCTATTTGTGTTTGCTGGAATGCGGATACCATCAAAAATTATTTCGATTTCATTGCAAATTCTTATAGACTATAAAAGAATTTTTTTGTATCTGAAAAATTGCTCAGATAATTGGTGACGTAAAAATTAAATCTCTTGGAATTCTTATGAATGTTTTTAGAACAGAAATAAAAGATGGAAAAAGGATACATTATAATTCAAGGAATTCAAAAGGAATTTCTTTAGATCCTCTGTGCTATCTATGCGTAGCCATGACGAGTCGGACACACGATATACAAAATAATATGTGTTCCAGTAGATAAATCGACGATCGCGTGTTTTTAAACACAATGTTTACTCATGACAATCTGTGGCGATCGTCTCTCCTGTCCTCTCAAGAGAGTGCCTCGCCAATAAAAGCCATCCGTTCGCGTGAGAAGCGAGAACAGTTTCCGACTCGCCGCCAATGTCATACATCATGTCGCTTAATGTACCCACTTTGTTAATTTCTGCACTTGAGACTGTAATTAATGCGCGCTGAAATGTAAAACTTGCATGAATGGTAATCGTTTTTCTGTTATAAAAACCCATGGTTTCCGTTCCACCTTTCTGTTACCTTCCATAAAAACGTAAGTTCCGCAATCATAAATCATTTTTAATCAACTTCCGTTTTGATACAAGAGCTCGTTAAACGAGCTACGAATGTACTAGAATTAATAATACGATAACACCCGGTTATGAATCGGATCGGTCAAAAGAGAGCGGCAGAAAAAGAAACATTTCGCCATCTCGTGTCGTTGTTGTACATAATTTACAGGCTGCATCTGTTATTCATAATTTAGGACAATCTTGATAACGAATAATGTCGGGATAAAGACAGACGCATATCATTGCAAAATCAATAAGCCAACGAGGAACTCATAAAGAAATCGTACACACAATTCGTACCATTCGTTACCGTGAGTAATGAAAAATGGCTCCGTGCTTAGATGGAAGCAGGTCGCGTCGGAAGAGATATAGATAGGTAGGTAGGCAGGCAACTATACGGGGAGGATGATAGAGTGGGCCTATGCATTCGTCCAGTAAATAGCGTGATTGATCGATATTATATTCATAACAGGCAACGACTTGTCATCAATCATATCCCGTCGCGCATAACTGCGGGTCTCTGTAATATACCTGCCCGGCCGGTATAATACATTACGCCTCCAGTCCGTATTCAGTACACCGGGTGATCTAGAAACATTCTCCTTACGCCTCCCGCGGAAAAGCCGAGCACGCTAGAAAATTAATGGCCTTAACAACGCATTGTAAAATACCGTACACGTGTCCGCTTTTTAACGAAGTCGAGGCCACTTCTCACCTATCAACGAAGTGTATAGTAACGGAAAATTATGTCGAAATATTATTTTTAATGTAGTACCCGATAATAATCCTCGTCCGCCTATATTTACACATATATTTTCCTTTTTATTTATTTATTTATTTATTTATTTATATTAGCGCGCACAGTTACGCCCGCGTGTCACGCGCTTGTATTCTGCGATGCGATGGGTTGATGCTTGACAATGGGTCCGGTGCTGACACGGTAGCCTTCCCCCCGTTGCCACTCAAAGCCTCTCAGGTAACGCGATCCCGGCAGCCTAAATAAACAAGGTAGAATAAATAAAAGCTATTCTAAATGTCAGTTCGGTGTTTGCCTAGCTGTCACGGAAGTGGAGGGCACTCTCAGTCTCAAATGGATATCGAATCGGCCGTTTACAGCCCTCTTCTTTCGGCGTGCGATAGGCTACCGTTCTACCGATGGCATATGAACGATATTTTTATCATCGCCATATATTATATACGCTCTCTTAGATTGGCAATGTCAGATTAAGACTCGGGGGGGGAAAAAAAAGAATTTCAATGTACGTATATCTGCTTGGAGAAAACGCAACCTAGTGTAAAATATTAAATCTTATTTAATATTCCTGGATTGATTAATATTTATTATCACATTAGCATATCGGTGGATATAAAATATGCTAATGCTTACAGAAAAAAGAGAGAGAGAGATAATGAACATCGCGATGTCGCTTTCGACGATTACGAGGTTGTGGGTAGATCGAAATAAAATTTCCTAATTAATGCGCGCTTGATAAATAACAGGAAGCGTCGATTCCACGGTCTCCCAATGATCGGGAGCAATCGTGAAAGACGTCCGAGATAAGCAGACAGGCGGCTTGGTGGAAGAAGCAAATGAAATTGACAGTCGACGTTTGTCTGCGCTCACGTTCCTCTCGCGCTCGTAGTCTCTCTGTAGTCTGTCTGTCAGCATGACACCGAGCGACGCCTTCTTTATTATACATTCAATTATTAGGCGCTGCGCATGACAAGCGCTATTGCATATTTATATCTGCCAACCGAGGCGAGCTCAGCCGGATAAGGGGGTTCCTGACAGCCCGTCACGAGCATACGTTAACATTCTTAATAACGTACTCGGTTTGTATACGTCCGACGTGGGTCGGTGTGCGTGCGTGTTCGTATACACGCAGAAATACGCATACGCGCAGAAACGGCACGTATACGTAGACGAAAATACATGAAATGCACGCGCACGCACACTCGCGGTCGAGACACGAACGTGTAAAAGCCACACGGTGCAGTGGTGTAATTTCAATACACGAGGAAGCTATCAACCTTTATAACCTGTTTATTACGATAATACCGTAAATTTGCATCGCGTGTTCCACCGTAATCGCTTGCCGCGGCGGATGTCATATTACGTTAACTACAGTAGTTAAATAGGCATCCGGGGAATAGGCCCAAAGCCGGCATACCCTGAAATTTGCGCCACTCCCAGCGTACATGGATATTGGTTTCAGGACGGTTTAATGAATTTCGTTCCGAATTTTATATGGCAGCTTGTTTAACACCTGACCGACGAAACATCTGACCAATAAATCAGCTATGATTTTATATATGTATTGTACATATCTCACACATACACACACACACACACACGCACACGCACACGCACGCACACACTTTCTAAAATCAAGTATTATTATTACATATTATAAATATGATTTGAGAATTATGTGGAAATGTAAACCACATTTTGCGTTATGTAGCGTTTTGAAAACTGAAATAGGAATACATGTATGTGTTCGATTAAATCTAACGCTCACCTGCGGCATGTTATTATAATCGCTCGGACATGCCCGAGGTGTTGCGAATTTCGTAATGGATGCGATACAAATTTCTCTTAAGGTTTTTTAAAGGAACTGAAATTCTCCATTACTCTTGTATATATGTACCGCGTTAAAAATATTATCAAAGACGTCGCGTCCGCGAGATAAAATGCATGCCGATACAGTAGCTTTTTCGTCAACAAAATGCTGAACAACGATCGTATATCAGACACCGCCCACGGCGACCGTGGGCACCATAAAGAGAACAAAAACTTTCTTATTTTCCCCGTCCATGGCCGCCTGCTTTGATATACGATACGTTTGTACCGTGTCGGCCGGAGCCTTCGAAAGCCGACCATCTACCGTAACAGCATTTTTATGCTAAACTGGTCGATGCAACTGACAAGAATTGACAGAATTCGGAAAACAGCTGACAGCCCGCCATGCAGCCACTCCTCTGTCCGCCGGCGGTAAATTTCAAACTGCCTCTCCCTTCTTTTTCTCCCGCTGCAAAACGAATGCCGGTCCATTTCTACCACGTTCGCAGTCCCGCCCAGATAGCCTCAAAAATTATGATTAAACGGGGAGAAGAGAAAGAAAGAGAGAAAAAGCGCGAATGTCAAAATCCAGAGTTTTGTAAAATGTAAACTGCGTAATATGCAGAATTGAGAAAGTTTGTAAAAAGTTACAGTTTACAAGTAGTAGTTAGTTTTTTTCTCAAGTTCTGCAAAAAGTAACCAGTTATTATTACGAGTTTCCAATTCTAAAAAGTAACACATTACTGTTACAATTATTTAAAAAGTATAAGTCATTACTTTTCAGTCATTTATCTGTTATTTTTTTTTTAATTTTTTGTATCGCCATTTTAAATATAAAAATTTTATATATTTTTAACATTATTGAATTTTTTAGTAATTATACTAAACATTCAGTGTTATACATTATATTATTTATAATCAATTAAGATATACACTTGGAATTATAGTATGAATATGAAGACACGTTTTATTATAGAAAAAGAAAAGTCACTGATATCAATATCATATATTTTTTAGATAATATTTCTTAAACAAGAGCTAAAAATAGAACATAAATACAAACTAGAAAGTATCAACTATCAAATAATATAACAGTTTTTTTTATAATACTTTTTCCAATTTTGCAATAGTTAACTTTTTCATGAGATAAGCAAAAATGAGCGTCTGTCAAAATGGGCTCCAAAACCGACACGGTAATCAGTAATGTCACATATCTTTATTCTTTTTTTTTACAGGAGTTACTGTACAAAATACTTATAGGTGAATATATATAAGATATTCTGGAATCTTTTCACTTCGATATAAAATGTTTTTTGTTGATTTATGTGCATATTTTATATCTACTGTTCTGCAAGATGCAAACATGTAATGCGACAATTCATGTTTGAGGATTTTCCTGTAAATACGATTACCTTCAGCTCCAATAGGGCTATTTGACATTATAACGCAAAACTGTAAAGATTAAGTTAGCTTATAATCTATCTTACTGACAAGTATGCCGGCTTTTTTTTACATTTATGCTGCATCCTTATTTTATATTTTAAACTATATTATGAAAAAAATGAAAAAGAAAACAATATAAATAAAACTGACTTAGGAAATTACAAACATGTAAAACGATGTAATATTATCAATAATATAGTCACTTAATTTTTAACAGATATTATTAGAGTGTGATGATTATTATATTCTATAAATGTCATGTATTCGTCATAGGCAATTATAATGAAGTGTTCAGTGAATAATCAGTGATAATTTCTTGTGATTGCGGGATAAAGATACATTCCACAATTTTAAGAAATAATCAGTGTTCACTTCATTTTGATCACCATATGTTGATAAACAAGTTTGATATAAAATAACTATAAAAATAACTTATTAAATTATTTACTAGTTATAAAAAAATATAATCAAGAGTTAAATTACAGAAATAAAAGAACGAAGTTAAATTATTAAAAAAAAATAACTGTAATTGTAACTTCAAGGCTATAATATGTGCAATGATAGAATAATACTAATAAATATACCACGTATCGTTTAACAATAAAATGACACTGAAATCCCTCGTGAATCTTCACCTCTCTGAAGTCGCTATAAATCTCAACTTAAACTACGACATTTCTGCATTTTGTAATTACCATAAATGATATTCGTAATGTTTCATTCAATGTATTTTTTATTCGTTTGTTCTTACGTGGCATGTGTCACGTGTAAATATTTAAAATGAATTATCGTCGCGTCATAATAGTTAGTTTGCATTTATGCTCAAGTGATTTGTAAATAACACCTGAGGCTCGAAAAAAAATTTAATTTGACTTAATCGCGCTATTACATATCGAACACAATTTGCCACACCTAAAGGTGTGCAAGATGCAAGACAGATGTGACAGTGTCACCGACTCCGCGTTCTCCAGCAGCTAAAATAGAATTATGTTTCGTTCTAAGAAGCTTACATTGTACTGGTTGTTGCATAACGTCGCCTTGTCTATAATTTGCATTATAATTTGCATACAAGGGAGAAAAATCATACAACTTGATCGTCGTAACATTACTACCTGCGCACGTAAATCATCTACGAATCCGCTCAATATTTGCCATTCGATACGCTTACGTTAACCGCGTTTAATTAACGAAATTATAATTTATATAAGATAAATGATAACTAACCTAACTGAATATAATCGAAAAAATCAACTATATATTTGTAATTATTAAGATATCTATCAATAACAGCAAGAAAATACAAAAAGAAGTTAAATATTTTGTATTAAAATAAATAATAAAAACATGTAATTTTTATTCCAAATTATTGCAAAAAAAATTGTTCATTTCAAGTTACGCAGAACAATCATCTTTTTACCATTTAACGTAAAATAGTCTTACGTAGTCTATATTTTCAAATTTATTATACTGTATTTATCTAAATCTTGCATGATCGTAAACTGAAAATTTAATTCAAAAAATTAATTTTATTAGAAGTTACTAGTCAATCGATATGGTGTAATATATATAAATAAAATTTTACTTAAGTGTCCTTTTTTTAGATTTATTTTTATTATATATATATAGTTTTTTTATAATTTTTCGATCACCGACAAAAATTTCATGTGGATATTAATTTTTGTAACGTCACTAGTTAATAATCAATAATAATATAGAACTGATCATATTTTCTTATTAGTTCCGTCATTGGGACATTTACCTACCTTATGTGCACGCCTGTTAACGCCTGTCCACTGACCGTCGAAGACAGGTCTCCACCTCCGTTTATACGAACAGACTATTAAAGCTCGTACAATCTACGTCTCATGATATCGGTAGACAAAAGAATACATTAGGAGAGGAGCCTTATGACAGATACGTGTCTGTATCGGGTTATCAGCGGCGTCTCAGCATCAGACTACGGCATCGTTATGGGCACGACGTTGACGGACGGCTCTCTTACGCACGGTTGACGGGAAACACAAATTGTGGGCGCAGCTGCGCCGATAGTAATCAAGAAACACGGTAGGTAGTGGAGTAGAGTAGCCAGCTAATAATTCTCTCCCTCCCTCCCCCTGCCTTTCGTCCCTCTCATCAGCCTCTCCCCCCCCCTCTCTCTCTCTCTCTCTCTCTCTCTCTCTCTCTCCTGTCGTGCAAGTTTACACACACACGCCCTAGGTTATAGACTAGCTAAAGATACGTGAGAGAGTGAATGAGGCAGGAACATAGAAGAAGAGAGACAGAGTAGAGCTGGTGGCACTTCACAGGAAAATGATGTTGATCCAGGTCGATACCTGTCATCCGCTAGTCGATCCACTGCCGAGATTGCTCCTAGCCCCGGATTCGCCTCGCTTTACATTGATATTCGTGTGTCCCCTGCCTCTACCTCGTATATCCGGGCACAATGAGGGCCAACTGTGTAACTCTATGACCATGGCGACGTATTAGTGCGTTCAAATATACAGTTATTAACTACACAATCCATCCAAAGTCATGAAACTGAAGGAAGAAAAATGTATAAAATAGAACGATTATTTATAAAACTGAACGATTACCGTAAATCACTTTATTTTTGCTTTAAATAAATAGTTAGACAAATAAAATATATATAGTGCAGTATGACGTTTTTAAATATTCGATAAATAATTATAAGAAAGATTTAATTATGACATTATAAGTGTAAGCTTAGAAAATACTATTATTATCATTATTCATAGGAATATCATACATTTACAATTCACCAATTATCAAAAGTAGGCTTAGATACGTGAAGGCGAGCTGAATTTATCACCTTTGAATGACGCGGGTAACTTTAGCGAGATAATTACCAAGATTATATGATACGGGATGACGGCTGGCGCGAACATTTCGCAAACGCTGCCACCGTCAATCTACTTCTGCTTACTCTAAATTGTTATCCTCTAACGGCGCGTCGAGCCAAACGGTTAATCCGCCGAACCGTGTCTAATTCCATCTGACGCGGTCTTTCGTTTGATAGTCTCGCTCTCTCTCTCTCCCTCTCCCTCTCTGTTCTTTCGCATGATGCCTTGTCAACGTGCAGACATTCTTGCGAAAGAGCTGCATTACCAGGTGCCACAAGCGTCATGCACACATCGCATATAAATTTTCAGCATACATTTACATTTCTTGGCAATCGTTCGAGTAGCCAGTCCCTCATCCCAAATCTCTCATACTCTTTGTCATTTAAATTATATCTTCCGTATGGTCTGTCATATTCGGGTGAGATAATATCAGTTTATGTAAATACTCCGAAAATCGTTCCTCAGACGTCATTATTGAAAAATATGCATATGCTTCTTACGGGAATAAAAATTTGGGAATAACCATTTGATGAACACGACGGAGAGAGACTCGAAGATAGGGCGGAAATAGTGTATGGATTAGAATGTAAATTAGCTTTGAGTGCCGTCACAATGCGACTTAATCTCGTTATGTTTGGGAAATATGATGCTGACGGAGTGCTTGTCAGTCACTTTTGATGATAGGGAGGCGTTGCTTATTGGTTGGGGAGCGACGGTTGAATGCGGACCAGGGGGAGATATCATTATTTATGCTATAAGTGTCCTCGGAACTCTTCTTTGAGCTAACACAAAGGTAGATTATATGAATCATGGGTCTCGTCCTGAGGCTAGAATCTTAATGAAATACGCTTGTAAAAATTCAATCATAACTCGTGAAAGAATCGACAAATCACTATATTAACCATTGACGAATTCACAAATTCGAAGAAATGCACGCTAAAGAAAAATAAGATTTTTTATTGCACAGTTGGAAAATTGTGTTAAGTTTAACATATTTCACGGGATCTCAAACGATCTATCCAAATTTTTACAAGCGTATATTGTGTTAATTTAAAACAACATGAATATGTTATCTTTATAGTAATTTAATACTGAAAAAAAATTAGTAATTACCTACTTTGAATAATAAAACCACTATATATTGCTTAGTACTCTTATTTAATACTCAAGATAAGTAACTTTATGTAGAAAGTAACAAACATTATATTAAAATTAACACAAAAAAATGTAACACTTTGACACTTCAGAAACAAATTATAAAAACATATTTCTTTAATAAAATTAATATTTATAATTTATAATTAAATTAACACGTACATTTATCTTTTTTCACTTATCTTATTATTAGAATTAATGTTTTAAAACTACATTATTTTTATGTTATTTGTTCATTTACGCATAAATTATGTTATTTTAATGTCTACTAAGAAATGTTAAATATTAATTTAATATAAAATATTCAAATAGTATTAAAAAAAATCATATTATGTTAAATTAAAATTTTAACAAACGCCGATTTTAAGATTTTAAGGCAAATACAGAATGTTTTTTTTTTACTGCGTATTTATAATCGTTACCATTTTAAAGTGCGATTAATGAAAAATAGGTATTCAAATACAACGTTATTAAGCGTTTTGCAGCCACCAGTAACGCTTGAATCGTTTCGTTTAAAATCGTTCGCTTTGGCCGCGATAGAAAAATCCAATTTGCCCAGGTCACGACGGGCGTATACGGTATAAAACATGCCTGTCAGTGGCGCGGAAAGCGGCTTCCACAAGAGTCGGTAATGCACGTGTCACGTGAGTGGCATAAAAGACAGGAGTGATGGAAGGCTAAATAGCAACAGTGTCGTGACATGCAACAGTGACCGAGCGGCCCCGACTGTCCCTGTCCGCGTGCGGAGTCACTGCGGCGCGACAAGTTGACATGTTTGCACGAAGGCCGCACGCTGATCGCGCACGGGCATTAACAAATACTCTGTTACCCGCAGCAGGGCGGCAGGATACATTCTACACGTGTACAGGATGCGCCGAAGGGAAGTTCATCGGGGACAGGTGGCCGGGAATCGCGGCGACACGCCGACGGGTGACTCGGTTTCCGCTGCGTTTGTCGCCACCACCGATTAGAATAGAATAAAAAAAACATAAGTCGACGGGAAACTGGTGCCATCGTCTTGTAACCGGCACTTTTCTTGTTTATCAAGAGCGACGCGTGTACATGCACAGTTTACGATCACGATTACCACCTCTTCGGTTTTCAACCGGAGGCTCCAACTTTTTACTAAATCTTCGGTTAACCAAATTTTGCAGGGATGAGAAGTAACGTCGTTACTTTTACCGTTACTTTTTATAATAACGATTTGGTAATGACGTTGCAATTTTTTACGACGGTAACGATAACTAACTAAAAGATTAGGAAATCATTTTTGAAAAGTAATTTGTCACCATTACGTGTTACTTTTACTCGCTATTTTAACTCGTTATATGTAACGAGTTATTTTTTTTCAATAAATGATGATAAATTACTTTTCGAAAGTGACTTTTCCAATCTTAGCTTTTAGTTAGTTATCGTTGCCGTCATAAAAATTACAACGTCATTACCAAACCGTTATTTTTGAAGTAAAACTAACGGCGTTACTCCCGTACCTGAAATTTTGACGACTTTTATTTAAATACGCAATTTTCCTCCGATTTTTTGGAAAGATATCTTCGGCAAAAGAGGATCAAATCACTGCTAAATTCATAATATTAAATTATATAATACTAAATTTAAATTGTTTTTAATAATTTCTCTCTACAGGTCATCAGTACTCCTACTTCATCCTAATAAACACCAATTAAAAGTAACATAAAATCAATGGTATAATTTCACACTGAACAATATAACTGTTATATATACGTACATATATTACATTTATATTGTTGAGTGTGAAATTATAATTTTCATGTTATGTTACTTTTATTGGAGTTTATTGGAATATGTCATTAATTTAACTAAAACAATGGAGTTAAACGATTTAAATTCAAGAAAATATATTAAATTTGATTCAATTTAATTTATTATTTACTCATTTTCTAAATGCACACGTTAATATAGACATTGTTCATTTTGAAACTAACCACAGAAATAGATTGGTTTAAATTTTGACATGGAAGTTGAAAATAACAACATGTTATTTAACTCAAGGGATTGAGTTACCATTGCTTTTTTGATGTTTAACAGTGCGATGATCTTTTTTAGAGAGAAACATGCACTACAAGAAAGTTTCAATTTCAGCAATTTTAACTATCGATCTCCTGCCGGAGAGCCGTCAATTTTTAGTGAAACACTAGTCGGAAGGTGCAACCGTGTTTACGATCCGCGTATCTTATTTTCGTAAAAATGCTCGACTAGCGCTTGGTAACACAAAGATTAAAGCCGCAACGAAACAATTTGAGGGAAAAAAGTGGCGAGAAAAGCGTTCGCGTATAAACGTTGTCCTCGACGTTATACCACAGTGCTCTACGTTCCCTCTTTACGAGCCCCTTGTAGCAGCTAGCCGCCACGTATTTTCCTCTTCCGTAATGTCTCCGCGCGGGTCTTTTGTTCCCCTCTCTCGATGCGGCAGTTTCGTCGTAACGTATAAAGTTTGTGTTTTCTTGCGTGGCATATAGTTGGCTGTTCTCGCTGGCATAAAGCCGGAGAGGTCGCCGGAGCAGCTAGAGGCCGCTTTAGGACGATGTACGGTTTAGCTCTCCTCGTCTTTGCTGAAAACGCTTTGAGGGAGACACGAATCGGATATCTGGGTCGAGATATGACTGCAGTTACAAATAGCCACCAATGTGCGACGTCGCGTTTCATCAAGTACTAATGCAGATGTTTCGTGGACGAAAGTGGCGCATAAAAATTATTATATACATATGTTTAACAATTCCGTTCTCTAAAAGACAGACGTGCATTATGCAGTTAACGACACTCCCAAAGTACGATTCAAATATAACTCGTGCATCCATTTCCGAGTACGTATTGTCTTCGAACGAGCGAGGTAATTGCTATTTCGCAGCCATAACGAATGACTTACGATTATGTTTTCCTCGATTCCTCCAAGTCCTTTGAAAATGGGCGGAGAGGGGAGAAGGGAGGAGGATAGAATGGGTCGGCACAGAGCAAAGTAGCGCAATCTGCGAGACCGCCACTTGGCTGTAACAGATACGCCAGGAAATAAATGTCTGTATAAAGGAGTTGGCAAGTTCGCCGGATGATATCAAGATGCCGCCGGCTAATACTGCCCGCCAGTATTAGTCCAAGGGTGAGACGACATTTCACCGAGAAAATGTACCCCTTTTGTTCCGCGCCTATCTTCCCGGTCCTGCGATACCCTCTCCGATATCAAAAGAATTTGGCTTTATTTCCCCGCTTTTATCCACCTCGAAGAACGACACGCTGTATCTAATAAAGAGAAATTATGTCCTGCGAGTCGGACTTTTGCCCAGAATAGCCAGACAGCGTGTCGTCTTTCATCGGCGATGCTCGAAGCCCGGTACCATGCCTGCCTGCAGTAACAATGCGAGCTCGAGTTTCGCCTACTTTGTAAGTAACGGTCAAACGACGATCGTAAGACGCAAAGTACTTGAGTGCTTCACGTGTACTGCGATGTATTCTTGGAACGTTTGTGAAGTTTCAATTTAAACTGCGATTGAGATAGAAGAGAGGTAGTCGTGCAATCAGATTTTCAATATTCATTAATAAAAATTATTTCTAATAAAATTAAGAAAATATCGCCGCGCGACGATATGGTCACTTTGCCATCAACGCGTTGACAGCAAAGTCACACAACTCAAAATTAACAATTTTTTAAATAGAAGTTTTTAAAATTCTTTCTGAAATTCTTTCTTGAAATAATGTTTTAGAATAGTGAATATGTAAAATTTTACTTTCTTTAATAATATAACTAAAATATGAGAGTTTATTTCAAATAATTAAGACATTCCTAAAGAGGGCTAATTTTGAATTCCCCTTATTTACTTTTGACAATGTTATCTGTAACAGAATTTAAAACACCCATGGGCTCACTCCGGTTATCTCCGGAACATTATCGCAGAATAGGTATTGAGTGATTTGGAAGAGAGATCACTGGAGGTAACCCTTTGGTAACCCTTCAGCGTTTTATCTAAGATAAGTGGATAACATTGTACCACAGCAGTTCCTCAAAATAGAGCATAAGAAATATTAATATTTTAAATTCTGTACAACTGACGCTCCAACTCACTTTGGAGGTCAAACATTAAATTTTCTGGACGTTACTATAATAAAAAATAAGAATGAAATTGAATTGATTGATTCCATAACTTTTTCTAGTCGATATTTAAATTTTCACTCCCAGCATTTTATTGTTGTTACTTTCTTTCCATATTATACTTTCAATTATAATGTCATTCCCTTGCTTCAAAAGTGACACAGCTCAAAAAATTAAGTTTTTTAGGAAAGAGAGGAAAAAAACTATTTTTTAACTTGTCAAAAAATTATTCATTAATCAAATAATATCGACAACAAGAATATATTTTTAATCAAAAGTCATTTTTGTCATTTTCGTTTCACAATTCTTAAAAAATTACTTTTTTTTAGTTATGATAATTTTGACAATTTTTTTT